AGGCATCTTTCTCAGGCGCTCGGCCACCATCATTCCAAAGTGATGAAAGTCGTCATTTTGGCGAGTCATCTGCTGCGCCAGCCTTGCTTCGTTCAATCCTCGGAGATTTTCTTTGATACAGTATACGATGTCTTGGCTTCGTCTTTGTCTGTAATATATATTTTGAACAATAGGAAGAAGTTTATTTTCTTGACATATGTTGCATGGTTTTCATGTTTTATATTTTCACATAATTATCTTTTTACGCGTTATTATAAAAGGATGTTATTATAAAGTGCGACACTGTAAAATGGAAAACCAAACAACTGCTTTTTATTTTACCTCACCCTACACTTTATAAATTTCAATAATGGCGTCAAGAAAAAGGCACGAAGGATCGGTGCACTCCTCTCATACTCCATTTCTTGTTGTTTTTCTTTGTTTTTTTTTCTAGCATAAAACGTTTTTTGACTCAGTAATATACATAAATCAGCAAAGCTTCCTAGCCTTGCGGTTTTCATCCCGGATGCGAAACGATTTGATTCGTTTAGCAGCAGTATAACTATGAGTTCTGAAAGGGAGAGCTGTGGACGTCACGTCGATCATTAGTCCTACCGATATATACGGCAGAACCTTGGGACTCGTATCTTTTGGTCGCAGCCACGCAGGAATACATTTAAAAAAGGAAAAGTATAAGATTGTACAACCATAAAAATCTGCAAGCATATACCTCGTTGTTCCTCTGCCCGTTGTTTGTGGAGCTCTGTAAAAGAACATGCCGGATTACGGCAGCTCGGAATGAAAGTGTTTATAACAGATACTACTTCTTTAATAAAAGCGTAAATAATGAAGCGAAAACGTCAAATTCAGTTTAAAAATCTTGGCTTTTAAAACCAATTTGGTTGTTCGTACGATAAAAAGAAGCACTTCGTGGTATCAGCAATTTTGTTTTGTCTCTATGTCCATATCTGCCGCCCTCAAGAAATTACCGGCAAATAAATAATCATACATTATGAAAATAAATATAAAAACTCAAAATAACTAAACAAAGAACACCAAAACTTACGTATCGCCGCGTCCTTGCTCTAAGGTATTTGTCCTGGAGGAAGAAATAATGTTATTTTAGTAGTCTTTCATCTTGTGCAATAAATAGAGTGAAAACCAAGCTCACGTGTCTTCTGTAATCTCCGTTGTTGAACTAGTTTCGGAGCTGCAAATTAAAATTTTTCTTTCGAGAAGAGTACAAAAATTGCACTCATTTTCTACCAATAGACATGTATGTGGTACTTCATAAATGCATTCTAGACCAAATGCACAGCACCCAGAGACGCTATTGTGGTGGCGCATAGCTCGACAGTGCTAGTCACTTACTTGGCAAGAGTTTCCTCTACTCCGCTGTCCTTACCGGGAGTTGTCATGTTGTTGCTGCAATGTACCCCGCGGCATGAGACCAAATGTGTCACGTCTAAATATTAAAATTAGTGCTTACATCAGAGAAGACACGCTGTCATGAGCAGGGTGGTCTTCGGTCAAGCTAACAGAAGGTCTCTCTGAAGGGCTGAGGTTTGACAGCGTCCTAAAAGAATGAAGACATTTCTGAACACGTTTAAATTGAACTCGATGTATATGAACCGTACTTACCACTCTGTTGGTACTTCCCGGCTTCTCAACAGGCTATCCATGGATCGATAGTGCTTCCAAGCTGGAGGCGGAGTGTAGGAAGAGCCGCTCCTCGTATTTTCCTCGTATTTTCGTTTCAACTTCCCAAATTTTGTTTTCATAGTTCGAAATTTTTGAGACGCCTCAATTCCTGAGATAAGATTACCAGAACAATTATATTTCTCCCCCTATCTTTTATTTTCGAGCACACACCATGCATGTACAGGGTGTCACAAAAGAAAATTTACACGGTCTTTTTTACCGCAAAAATAAACTAGACATCGCCGAACGCTCATTCTCCGCCCAAAGGTAGAGCTAGAGGTCACAACTAGATGCCAAAGTTTCAGCCCGATCCGATAACCTAATCAAAAGTTATAAGTGATTTTCTGAAAATTTCAATGGGAAAATGGGGCCCATTTTTGTCCGTTTTCGGTTTCTGGTGCCATAGAGCCCCATGTGTTCGGAAACTCCGTCGGCCGCCATTTTCCCATTGAAAATTTGAGAAAATCAGTTATAACTTTTGATTAAGTTATCGGATCGGGCTGAAACTTTAGCATGTGGTTGTGACCTCTACCGCTACCTTTGGGCGGATAATGAGTGTTCGGCGATGTCTAGTTTATTTTTCGCGGTAAAAAAGACCGTGTAAATTTTCTTTTGTGACACCCTGTATATCGCTTCAATCAAAACCTTACCTGATACCCCTAGTTCTTTGCCGATCAGCTCCCACCTATTATTTTTTAACTCCGTGTCTTTAAAACCAGGGTCACGCATGTCGAATAGGAAGCGATGAGGTCGTACGGAATCAATTAGTCGCTCAAAGTCCATGACTCTGGTTCACCTGCCCGACCCTTTGCCTAGAGAGCGGCTCTTTTACTTCCTCTTCTTTCAGCACCACAGAAAAAACAACAACAAAGGAATCGCCGTGCACGCGCTGTTCCGCAGCAGCAAGCACGGCACAAGGAGCGTGAGAGCGCTAACAAAGCGCTTCTGGAGCGCTAACAAAGCGCTTCTGGAGCGCTAACAGAGCGCTTCTGTAGCGCTAATAGAGCGCTTCTGTAGCGCTAACAGAGCGCTGCTGAAGCGCTAACGGAGCGCTACATCACGCGCTAGGAAGCGCCACATGAGCGCTCCTTGGAGCGCTCACGTAGCGCTGACTTAGCGCTCCGCTGTATGTGTGAACCGGCCTTTACTGGATCGCGTTTGCCCCACTGATCTCAATGAAAATTGCTGGATCGCGCTTGCCGCTCCCGCAAGTGAAGCCACCGGACCCAACACCGCTGGGATACGATTTCCCGTTTTGCTAGCCTTTTGCTGCGGTTTTCCAGCGTGCTGTAGACACGTTTTCTACTCGTTCGTCGTCATTCGCCGAGGAAGTTTTTGAGACTCTGTGTATTGTTGAGACTTGCCGTCGTGAACACGTGGAAAATTTTACGAAAGCGCAGTGTCGCAGGAAAAAGGCACAACTCGTCGAAAGCAAGGGTCTGGCGGCGTGTTCAAAGCTTCCTTGGCACGCCAAAGTGCCGTGTCTCTGTGCCTTCGCGCGCTTGGATACCGATCAAGAATCGACGCCGTGTGGATGTGTTTTGCGAGTGCAATGTGCGTGAAGCCGTATCAAAAGGTACAACTCGTCGAAAACAAGTGTCGCCGGTGTCGCGGCGTGATCAAAGCTTCCTTGGCATGCCGAGTGACGCATCTTTGTGCCTTCGCACGCTTGGATACCGGTCAAGTATTGACGCCGCGCCAAAGTTCTGAACGTGTGTCGCGCGTAGATGCCTTTAGATCATTTATATATATCGGCCACGGAGTTCTGGATCGTCCAGCTGTTCCGGTGAGTTGCTATCAATAAAAGGGGGAGATCCGTACGTTTTCTTATGTACTATATTAACCATGGCTATGTCCCAAATCTACTCTAATAGATTCCGTGGGAGCACGAATAGGGCAACGTTGTGGAGCCAGGGGGGTTTTCGAAAGCAAAAGTACAAGACGGCGAGAATGAAAATCTTTGAAGCGCGGCCGATATGGTCGTGTGCAATCTGTTGACCAATTACAATTAGGCGAGCCGCGCTCAAACGTCAAGTGCAATTAAGTAGGTTGATAATAAGCCAGCACTGATCAGTGATGAGGAGCTGTTGTGCACGGTATTGTGTAAATCGTCTAAGGACGAAAAAAAGACGTACCTTCCCCCCATCTTCCGTCGCTAGTGGACGCTGGATTAAGCTCGTTCCTAAACCGCGAGGGGAAAAGACGCTGGTTCAGAGGCACGAACAGCTTCACGCACATTGCGCTCGCTAAACACATACACACGGCGTCGGTTCTTGGTCGGTATCCAAGCGTGCGAAGGCACAGAGACACGGCACTTCGGCGTGCCAAGGAAGCTTTGAACACGCCGCCAGCCCTTCCTTTCGACGCGTTGTGCCTTTTTCCTGCGACACTGCACTTTCGTAAAATTATCCACGTGTTCACAACGGCAAGTCTCAACAATACACAGAGCCTTCAAAAAACTTCTTCGTCGAATGACGACGAACGAGTAGAAAACGTGTCTACAGCACGCTGGAAAACCGCAGCAAAGGCTAGCAAAAACGGCAAATCGTATCCCAAGCGAGTGAAGTCCGGTGGCTTCACTCGCGCTGCAGCGAACAAGCGGGGAAGCGCGATCCAGCAATTGTCATAGAGATCAGTGGTTTGCCCGCTCTGCGAATGCGGTCACTGGCGGCCATCTTTAGGTAGAGTTATATTACCTCTAGCCAAGGTACAGCTCCTGCAGCCACTGTAATACATCCATGGCAGACAGCGTTTTGGCAGGTGTGGTGACAGGCTGCCGTCAAAATAGGGTGAATGATATTTCGTGCTTGATTGAAATTGTTTGACGAAACATGTTTTTGAAACCCAGCGTGAACGGTAGCCCGATCCTTGAGGACCCGGTGAAAGTTTCACGAAATCGCAACACCGGGGGAAAAGCAGCACAGCTCGCATCGAAAGTCGCATCAAAATTAACATCAAAAGCAGACGCCTTTGCGGAGTCTGCTTTCGATGCGAGCTGCGCTGCTTTCCCCCGGTGCTGCGCTTTCGTAGAACTTTCTCCGGGTCCTCAAAGATGAGGCTACCGTTCACGCCGGGTTTCAAGAGTCTGCGTCGTCGAACAACTTGAATCAAGCACGAAATATCTCCCACGGTACAGTGTACTAGATCCACGGCTATTTTATGGCACCCGGCCGCCATTGCGCTGTCCGCCATATTACTATGATGGCTAGAGATGATATAACTCTACCTAAAGATGGCCGCCAGTGACCGCATTCCTATCCTGTCCATAGGAGGAGCTGGTCAAACGCGATCCAGCAAATAGACATAGAGATCAGTGGTCTCGCCCATGAACATCTCCGTAGTGTCACAACCACACTTCACCAAACTTCACGCCAAGGTCACACGACGACGTACCACGGCCACTCGTAATAACGTGCTCACTCTGCAGTAGATCACCTCTTCCTCGTCACTTTCCGAAACACAATGTTCGACGGGTCGTCCGCCAGTTCGGGGAAGGAGTCGACGTTATGGTAGTAGTCCTCGCGGTATCCGGGCACCGAGCCTGTGCGCAGGATGTGCTCCTTGTCCTTGTCGGTCCAGCCGAGGGCACCGCCGTGCTGGTCGGTGAGCAGGACTTGCCGCTCCTGCGCCCAGCGTTGGCTCACCGCGTGTTTCTTGGCGTGCCACAACAGCCGCAGGCGCTCGCGGTGTGGCGCCGTGCCGTAGCGGATGTTGAGGATGGCGTGCGCCGTGTGGATCGTCACGTCCGGGCTCCCTCTTCCGTCTTGCTCTGGTGCACGGTCGTGTTGATGGCCGTGCCCAACCGTTGCAGCTGCGTGATGTCCTCGTGGAACCTCCACGTGCTCTCCTTGACGAAATAGATATATAGTTTATTTAGTGCCGGTCAACAGTCGTGAGGCCTACAGGACAGTACACTTTGTCATGTTTCGCACAGTGGCGTTAACAATAAAAAGGGTATTACATAGGACAGTGTGGTTGCCGAGGAGCACAATAGAAATCAGTCTGACGCGTCATCAAATCTTAGTTAGTTAAAAATAAAAGTGGTTGCCACGGGCACAGTAAGATAAAGTCAAGTGAATATGTCATCTTGTAAAAACGTTGAATTGTATGTATCTTGTAACCGAGTCATTGGACACTTTGAATGAATATCTGTATAAAATGTGTGAATACATTTACACGCCTTCCCAGATGGGACACGGAAGCACAATGATGACAACAACTCGTCGCAATCAAGAGTGCCATGCACAACTTTTCTCAAAAAGTTCATATCATGTGCAAGCCTCCTGTCGTGAAGAGACTGGAGGCCTATGTCTGCTAATACCGAGCTATAGCTGTAAAAACGCCGATGACCAATGTGCCTATCGTATACAATACGAATAAATTTCCGCTGTACCTCTTCGATTACATTGCTGTAGCTGAGAGAAACAGAGTTCCATAGTACGGATGCGAACTCTAAACGCGGCCGGACAAGTGAACAATATAAAGAGAGAACACAATGAGGGCTTCTAAATTTTCTAGTTATCCGTGACACCGCACCAAGACATCGCAGGCCTTGATTAACTATCTGTGACACATGTTGATGAAAAAACAGCCTGGAGTCCACTTGAACACCAAGATCCCGTACAAAAGATATACGCTTTATGTGCCCTCCGGAAAGGTTGTAGCTGAACACTATGCTCTCGTGTTTCCTGCTGATTGACATGACTGAAGTCTTCTTGAGATTAAGTTGTAGTCTATTTGTTATGCACCACTGCTCAATTGAACATACGTCGTTTTGTAACAACAGACAATCCTGTACATTCTCTACCCTCCTGAACAGCTTCAAGTCATCTGCGTACAATAATGCTTTGGAGTGCAGCACCTGCGACGGCAAGTCGTTGATGAACACTAAAAATAACAATTGCCCAAGGTTAGAGCCCTGGGGCACACCAGATAATGATAAAAACGGCCCGGACAAACAATCTGAGAAACTGACTTGATTCTGGCGGTTTCCCAGGTAGCTGGAAAACCATAGAACACGTCCTGGCCGTGCATCACCAGGTGGAGGTCCAGCAGCAGCGAGTTGTTGAACACGGACGTGTGGACATCCCTCTGGATCGGGTCCGCCTTGTCGACCGTGCGTATCACGGCGCGTCCAGCCATCCGGGAGACCGTGATGCCGCGGCCGAAAGGGACGTTCAGGGTGCTCAAGTTGGGCACCGCGTTGTCCGCCGATTGTTCCCGCTTCACCTTGCACTTCTCGACGCTCGAGAGCTGGGCGAAATTCTAGAGCCTTCTCCGCACGGCGCACCCGTAGCCAGACACCAGAGGGACGGAGGGCAGCGGCAGGTTATACGTCCGGCTACCAGGGAACAGGAGTGCCGGGGCACCCCTCAGGATCGGAGGCCGTCCCGACCCCAGGCTGCTGATGTCGATTCCTTGCTTTTGGATCCAGTCGTTGAGATCTGCACGGGAGTCAGTTATTCGTATGTTTAAGGCCAGCAAGATCGCCGGCCAGCAGGTGCAAAGCCAGCGATGCGGAAACGCGAATGATATTCTTACCATTCGCGTTTTCGTGTACCGGCCTTGTGCCTGCTGCACGAGTGGTCACTTTAGCGTAGCCCTGCGCTTCCCACCTGGTTTAATTCGTCTTGAATGAACTGATATAGTGGTTGTCGATGACGCTTAATCTTATCTTCAGAAATGAAGAACTTAATTAGTAAACATAACTTCGTTGTTATTCTAATTAGTATATTGTTTGCAACCCTTACGTTCGGAGTGGCTGGCAGTTAGATCCCGGGAAAAGTTACTTTTTTCTCAAGCATCCTATTTTTAAGGATGTTTGAAAATCTTCGCAAAGATATCCGGTACAAGCACTTCGTCTGAGATATCCAGTCTATGAAAAAAAAAGAATCAATATACAAACGTCTAACAATCCCTGAAAAAAACACCCTTCAAAAAAAAAAGTCCCAGACAGCACATTTGCTTGGGCTAGCTAGGTGCAGGATTAGGCCTTGACAGTACTAGGCTAGAACGGGGTCAACCAGTGAATTTGGTCAACTGCCAGCCTGGCGTTTCTCTGTATTTCCTACCCCTGGAACTCCTCCAAGGAACAAAACATTTTCTTGGCGTTCCTTTTTATTTTTTTTTTGTCCCATCCAGGTAGCACATGAAGTGGGGCCCACGTGGATCCCACGTGGGCAAAGTGGAATGGGGAAGCCCCTGCAGTACCCCCCGTGGTACACACGGCGGTTCGAGGAAACCAGCCTTATAAGTAGTAAGCCAGCACCATGTCCTGAACGTGAAATAAACAACCCTGTTTCAGACCTTGATTCCATTCTGCAGCTCCATCCGCACGCCCACCACAGGAGAAATACAGCAACTCGCACACGTTGTCAACCATCAATCTACTGTGCACGTATTCTAACAAAATTACTGACCAACCAGCCTTTTTTTTATTTGTGAGGCATCAGATCTGGCTCAAAGTGGCATCCAGTGTTCTCTGAGCTCCGTAGCAAAAATTGAGGATGCTGTTGGGGTAGATGACACGAAAACGTCCTTTGAATGACAGCGTAAGCTAACCTTGGAGTAGTTTATAAAGTCCCCGCATGACCAAGATTGGGTGACCCGGAAATTCCCATTTTAAAACAATACATTCAATCGGGCCCGTCAAAACCGCAGGGCTTGTGGGACGGGGCCCGGAAGTCAGCTTCTTGCCCATATATTCTTTTTTTTTTTTTTTACTTTTTCTTACAACATCTTGAGGTAAAACACATAATAGCAAAAACATCAAAACAAAAGACAAAAGTAAATAATACTCTAATTCACTGAGCAAATCATGTCATTACGGAAAAACATAAACAACTAATCTGTACACTTTTACCAATGTTAAAACATATGTACATGTATACAATACAATACAAGAGTCTGTACATCTTGTATCAATTTAAAGACTGTAATGGTCTTCCGAAAAACCGATGTCTCACGTTTATTGATTATCGGTTTGAAAGCACCACTTCCTTACTAATACTTTTTACTTCTTTTTGTGACGTAAGATTGGTTAAATCACGCACACGTTTATTAAGGCGATAAGGTATATAGTAATTTTGTGTACGCTTCCCGTAATGTGTATGTATTCGTAGTAGCGCATATTTATCGCTGTGTCTTAGAGGCTTTGTTTCAGGAGTTTCTTGAAATCGCTACTCAAATAATAAGGTTTGGTTATATAACACATTGGAACAGTTTCTCGAGTGGCATTATGTTCAGACATACGTTTATTTGAAGGGGTTATAACTTCTCATATTTTGATCCGTATGCAATATTGTTAAGTATTCTGAAAATGATTTTGTTGAAACCTTGAATTCTGCTAGCTGAACACGATCCATATACTCTGAGGCCATATCGGAGAACAGATTCGCCCAATGCCAAGTAAACCTTTTGGCGTAATTTTGAATCCGCGCCGCTTTGAGGTCGGTATATATATGTTGAAATGACTCCCAATCGCTTTTTAACATGCCCCACGTGTTTTATCCAATTCGTGCACTAGTCAAAAGATAATCCTAAATACTTAGCATTAGCTTCATAATTCGTCTTTACATAGATGTACTTATCATTTGAGGAAGGGTTATAGATGCGGTCTGCAAATTTCCAGCCAAATCCGAAGTCTGCCAAAAAAATTCGGCGGAGTTCCCCTTCAAAGTACTTCCCAACACTACTTGTTCATTATCTTTTTATGTAAAAACGTTAGGGGAATTACAGTTTCTCGAACCGTCTTCGAATCATGGAAGACCTGCATATTCTCTGTTTTGTGAGGAAAGGCAACGCAAAAGAGATAACCTTCGCGTTGACCTATAGCGATTTTTCAAGTCCAGCACGAGCTATGGGAGCACCAGATGAGCTTCAGAGCGGGTGCTACATTTTGCTGACGATGCAGTGTGTACACCTCATGCAGTGCGCGAGGGTTCCTACGCCGGGAAGAAGCGGGGCCAAGACCTTTCTTTAAATGTGTCTGGTCTCCTTGAGCTTCAGGATACAAAGAAAAACGACTTCGGGGCTAATGTCACAGTTACTCGACCTCACTTGTGACGTGTCTGTCTACTCTACGCGTCTCGTAGCAGGGATGTTGCAGGGGGGTAAGGGGCAGGGGGGCTCGGGAACATTTTAGGGCTTTCGGTTTGGACCTTCCGAAGCATAGAGTTATTACAATAAACGCTGCAGTGGTTCTCAAATGAGGGTCCGCTAAGGCATTCGAGGGGTCTGCGAAGCCCTGCATCATCAGTCAAGCCCGGCAGTAAAAGTTGTCTTTTTTCAGGTCGAGAAGGTATGTCTCAATTTTGGGGCGAGTTATCTCGTGTGCATGTCAACAACTGAGGTAGACTTCAAAGTTCACACTAACCCTTAGTTATTTTAATTTATTAAATCAATATTATGTTTAACCTATACGTTCCCCTCACCACGAACGGGGTCCTCCATCATCTCCGCTGATCCACAAGGGGTCCGCCAAACATCGATGGTTGAGAACCACTGCGCTAGAGGTTCAGGTGGCGCTAGTGTGCTGTTGCGTTTTGCAACAGCACACAGTATATTTATTTCTTTATTTGTCTATTTATTTATGCATTTCTTTATTTATTTATTCTTGAGTTGAGGATTCCCACCAACAGCTAAACGCTTTACCGGTGGTAAGGCGTTTACTACCGGTAAGGCGTTCCTATGGGAAAGGTGACCTCCGGTAATGCATTCCTATGGAAAAACGCAGATGCGTTTTCTCTTCGCGGTCGATTCTAAGAGAAAATATTGCTCTGTGTTGTGACAGAATAAAAAGTTTGGAACGTTTTACAATCGGATGTACAAAAATATACGACAGTTAGAGCGTTTTTCTTTAGAATTCAGGTTGCGAACACTTTGACGTTGCAGACTGCTATTATAGGGCACGTATGTACTAATACAGTCAATACCATGAAGTGGCACAGAGTGAATCAGCTTGACAAAACACCAAAAAACAAAAACAAAAAGTCGTTAGTTGTTTATACAGCAGGAGTTTAGTCTACCAGAACATTTCGACATTGCTACCCACTGTAGAGCAATTTAGCCTGTGCAGTACGACTGCTAGCCTGGGATCTTTAACGCGCACCACGCAGTAGTGATACTCGACCGCACGCCGGTACGATGCTCAACCAGATCGAAACGGGCAGGGGAGAGGATTGAACCCAGGATCCCTGGGTTCTGCACCGATCCCTGACAAAACACCAAAAGGATGCTAATATATGCCAAATCAAACAATCATAACAGACGACAAGAACGAAGCATGGAGTTATGGAACGAAGAACACTTACTGGATTAGTATCAAACTTTGCACGAATAATCAAAATACAGCAGTAACCGAGTGTTGTTGTTCTGAAATTAGTACAATCTTTTTTAGCTTAAATTCATCGCTTTTAGTGACATATAATGCTGTACAACCTAGACGTGGGCCTCATTTTTTGTTAACTTAACCATCGCTAAGTAACCAAAAAGTAATTAAATTAATTAATTACACTTTTATATTGTGAATAAAACTACACAGTACCCGTTACGAATAAAGAAACTACGCTGATTTCTATTAATCCCTGGCGAAGAAAAAAATATAGCACGAAGGTTTTCCGATAGGAATACACAGGAAGACTGGAAAAGTAGACTGCATGCTGTCTGTTTCAATTTGTAACCGGAAGTCCCGTAGACACTAGCACCAGCTGAGCCTCTAACGTTTATTGTAATAACTCTATGCTCCAAACTACTCCCCCCCCCCCCCCCCCCCCCCCTGCTTGTGCCACATGCTTGCCCCTCTTTGCAAATATCAGCTGGTCTTCCAACACCTTATCTCTTTTTGTGCCGGAATGTTTGTTGATAAACAAACCTACCACTAAAATTCGACAGTACTTTGTAATTTAGATAGAAGTTACTCGGAAAAAGTAAATAAAGTAAACTGCTAATTACCAAAACAAAAATGCAATTGAAAGTTACTAAACTACTCGGAAAAGCAGTTTAGTAGAAACCTACAGTAACTTTAGTAGAGTAGTTGAACTACGTACAAGTGTGTATCTATCTGTCGTTTCGGGTGTCGAACGGGTAGGGTCGAGAGGCCTTGCGAGCGCGTTGCCTTCCAGCCAGGCAATGTCCAACCCAGTCGCGCGTCAGGGTGGCAGCACCTATGTACTTGAAAAAAAAAGGTGGATTAAAAATCTGTTCAGCGCGGCGGACGACATCTCCACATAAACCAAGCAAGATGTCAGATGAGACTTTACTCCGAGAGCCAGGTGCTGTTCAAGGTCACAAAAGTGTAAATGGCGGGAACAAGAAACGCTTCTATAACACTTGCGTTTTTTTTTCTTCTTTTTTTTTTTTTTTGTCGGTAAAGCCGGGATCACACCGCTTAGGATGCCTTCATGAGGACATTGAGGCACCCTAACACCGCTCTTACATGATACAAAAGACAGTCTGCAAACAGGAGCCACCGCAATGTCCGTGGTTCAAATGCCGCGTACCATGTTTCTGCCTTGAACTCATGCGGCATCGGAAGCACAGATCTTGCGGTAACTCGCGTTCGAATCCGGTTTTGCCAGACTGTCTTTTGTACGATGTATAAGCAGTGTGACCTCGGCTTAAGATTGAAAAAAACAAACAAAAGAAAAACGCTGCAAGAGTAACAGATTACTTTTTTGAGAAACGGTTGCTTACTTTTATGGAGGTGTAATCGTAACTGTAATTAGCTACAATTTAGCCATGGGTAATTTTAAATGTAATTCCTGACTTTGTTTAGTGACGCGTACACGTCTGCATGAAACAAAAGAGGCCTGGCGTTCCCCGTTCTACGCCGTACAAAGCACCCGCTCTTTGCGTGGGATCGTACGGTATTTTTTATATATATTTTTTTTTCGCTTCATCAAACATACGTTTTTTTTTTTTTTTTCTATTTTCGCTCCTTTATACTGCTGGGGCCTGGCAACGTCGACTTTTAATATTGCCAACCGGAACTGCTGTAGCTGTATAAGGCCCCGAGCAGCTTTACTATAGTCTACAGCGCGGAGCGCAAACACGGGCGCTCAAACGCATTGTTGGCAAAACACGCTGGCTGGCGATACACGCCATCATCTGCGGCGTTCTACAAACGGTAAGCTTCGTTGTCATAATGAAGTTGATACAATGACCACGACGTGGGGCGTATAATGTGTTGCTTTCAAAGATCGTGCTTAGTCACTCATAGAGTGAGAACGACAGGGAAGTCCTTCAGTTGTCCCAACTCCAGCGCGTGCTTCTTCGATAACGCGTCGGAGTCTCATGAACCTCGAGCGTGCGGGCACGCGTAGCCAAAGAACGGCGGAGGGCCATTGAGCCCCAGCCTCCTCTATACTCACAAAGCCTGGCAGTTCGACGACGGTGCCATAGAGTGCCCGGTCGCAGATTTGGAGCGCGAGGATCTGATAGCACAGAGCACCAGAGAGCCATTTCTCGGGGAACCTGGACGTCAGCGCACAGCTTTTGCAGCGGCGAGGACCCGAAACACACTTGTTCGCTCGGGAGAAGTGTTTTTCGGCGTCTCGCCGCAGCGGGGCGCCAGTCACCTGGCTCTCCTCTCGTTTGTCGTCTGCCGGCCACTCCACCTTTTCCATTTCGGCGGCCCCTTTTCGTGGCGATCGGCCGGGCTTTGTCAGTATATAGGAGGCTAAGATCGAGCGCATCCTTCCCATTTGCAGCAGAGTACACTGGCCACCCTGGACACCTCTGTATTCTCCTCTCTCATCTTTCAAACAACAGACTGTTTGTCTTCTCTGAAGGCTGTTCGGCGGAGTGTTTGCGAATGGACGCGATAAAGCGGCATGCTCACATGGCACGCAAAAATTAGTTAGTCTTCCGTGTTTTGATCTTGCCGAATTTATATCTTTTGCGGCGAATCATAAACGATAAACACCTATTCTCAAAATAAACATGGCTCCATTCAACGAATTTAACGTATTAATAAAACAAGAAAAACAACAACAACAAAGGGAATGTCTGGTACTTGCACTTGCAACCTTTCCTCTTTGAAGTTCCCTTTGTTTCACACGCGCTTTCTGCCAGAAGTCGCTAAGAACAGGAGCGAAAAACCCGTGCCTCACAGGCGATCCCTCTCAATTCCTTGGTGGACGTAAGCATTGACACCGCACAGGTTGGGGAATGCGAGTGCTTTGTTGTTCAATTAATCAAGAAAAAAACATTAAAAAAAAAACTGTTGTCATTAAGAAAATCCAGACACCCCCCCAAACCACAAACAAACAAACAAACAAACAAGCACGCACGCACGCACACACGCACGCACGCACGCACGCACGCACGCACGCACGCACGCACGCACGCACGCACGCACGCACGCACGCACGCCCAGACAGTCCTCCACTCTTTCCACTTTAGCGGAGCGAACGCAGGAAAGAGGCGAATGAAAATGTGAAACAGCGGAGGGGGCGAGGGGGCGGGGTTATTAGACGGGTACATTGGGGGTTAACTTTCTGTAGCATTTTAGAAGTGAAGAGTGCCCGTGCAGAGTTTTCATCAGTGCTCAAGGTGTGCGAGCGCACGGGCATCCCGATGTGGAGCGCAGGTTCGCCTGCTTCTTTTGCAAGGGTGACGTAAGAACGCGGAGCACTGATTGGCTGAATGAAGGATAGTGCCTAGACCTCAAGGCAGCTTGCTTTGAGGTCTGCCCACCATCCTTCATTCAGAGCCAATCGGAGGTAGGCGTTTTGAGGTCACCACAACCCCTGCAAAAGAAGCAGACGAACTTGCGCTCCGCATAGCTTTGGCTTACTGCTACAGAAACTCGGTAGACGATTGCAAGAAGCCCACTGGCCGCCACCATGTTTCTACTCGTGCGGATAGGCCCGTACGAGTGCAAGCTTGTCGAAGCTATGTTTATGCGTAAGCTGCACGTGCTTGCACTCATGATTAGTGGTTAGACGCGAAATTAGCAGCATTTGTATACTCACTCTTGGAACGTGTTCGAGGAGTGCAGTAGAGACAAATGCATCTGGCTGAGCATACGCACAAATCATTCCAACCAGAGCTCGGAGTTCTGACGTCTCCTCCGCGCTCGCGTCCCCTGCCCCCCCCCCCCCCCCCCCCCCCCCCCCTCCCTCAGTCACTGCCCGTATTGGAAGCGTGCGACACCCAAAAGGAGCCGAGCCGCCTTGGCAGCGACGCAAACGACAGCTTCCGCTTAACGTTGCATATAGTGAGCGGTGACCGCTCGGACCTTTTTGAATGCACCTGCAGCGTCTTTACCGCGTCTGTGCCATCTGCGCATTCAAGCGGCCGCGTTTCTCGATCTCGATCCGGAGTAAAGGTTTGGCGCCTTGACATTTGAGAAAGTATATACACGCCTAACGTTGTTCTGTGTCTGTTCTCACGTCATTCGAGCTCAAGATGTTGCTCGGAGCTCAGAGTCAATCATGTCACCAGCAATTGTAAGCGGCGACGACGGCAACACAGCTCCACGTGTTTCGTTTATCTGCGCTGGAATATCATATTTGTGAAGCATTTGTGTGTTCGACGGCCTGGAAATTACGAAGGGACGACATTTCCCAGTGCCACTAAGGGATACAATCTACATTAAAAGTATGTTTCCATTATTATCAGATTGCCCTTCGCTTGCTTGCGGGGATCGACTAGAGGTACTCGGACAGGATGATCGCGGCTGTTTTTACCGGTGAATGGAGGGTATGTGTTCGCAATTTACTAACCTTGTGTCAAAATGTTAGCGCCGAGTGCGGCTCCGAACGTTTCGTATAGCGCTGTACTCGGGCAAGCTGACATTGATTAGAAATCATGGGTCGGCTGCTATACGCGATGTCTTTGCGAAATGCGTTTGCTGAGCCGCACCGTGACACCGCTGCCTTGTCGCACGCTTTTAATCGGTTTGTGTATTTTTTGTAAGAAAATTGGGAAAGGAAAAGGGAAGGAGAGGAGGGGGGTTAGACCTTGTCGGACTCAGCCTGGGATGTTTTAGGGGGGGGGGGGGGGGAGGGGGCTGTCGGGGTGTTGGTGTACATCGCTAGCCACCAATCATGGCGAACTGAACGCTTTGCGGGAGTGGATTGTTCTGTTATTTTGAACTACCGTACACGACATATCTGCAAAATCACCTTCGGCAATCAATATTTCCGACAATCGCGGAAGAGCTATATGACTCCCAATGAAGCGTGTCCCTAAACCCGTGGTTTGTCTACACGGTAGACGTATATACCGTCTTGAACATTGTTATACAATACTTCCTCCTTCTTTTTTTCGTCTGTTTTCTTCTTTTCAGCCTGAGATTTGGCTATAGGATGCGGCGATCCCGCCCCATGCGAAAGTTCCTAGCATTCACTCTCGTCATCTCAAGCCTGTTATTCGTCTACATCCTTGTGCTGCCGTTCCGTTCCAATGGTATGACCGTCTCTTTTATACACGTTCGCCAGCAGCCACACGCTTTATAATCTTGCCTGGTCCCCACGTGTGCAGAAAACAGATTCGTGTGAGGTGAAGCATCTGCACATGCGCCGTTCCGACAGCAGCGCCACCGCAGCGACGTGACGTCAAAGCCGCGTGCAAGATGGCGGCGCCCTGAGGCCGTATGCGTGCAGACGTTTCACAGTCAGCACCCAGGCGGTGGCGCTGAGCGCGAAACAGAGTATGCGCAGACGCGTCACTGTCCAGAAAACATAATTCTGCGCATCCGCATTTTGTTTATGTAAGCAAACGTGTCTGTTTAGGAAGAATCGTGGGATGCATACATCGTAATAAAATGTGAGCTTCGAGTGTATTTTCATGTTGATAAAGATGGGAGAAGAGAGAATGAGCTGTGAATGAATGGGCACATGCATGTCTGTGTGAAGCAACGTTACTAGATTACCTCAGTTGTGGAACTCCCACAAAAAAAAAGTACCCCCCTCCCCTCCCCCTCAGTCACTTCAGTCCGCCTCCCGTCGTTCGGAGCGCCATCTAGATTTTCGTTTCAAAACTGTGTTCCATAGAGTAATCATTGAGTACGGTGGAACGCCATCTAGGCGCTGTGCTTCGAAACGTACGTGTTCCATAAAATACACTGCAGTTACCATAGGAGCCGCCTGGCGCGTCGAACGACGGGAGGCGGGCCGTGGGGGCCGATGGGGGTACTGCTCGTGTGAACAACGCATATGAGCAGTTCCGTAACTGAGCTAATCTAGTAACGTTTGTGGGAACTGACATGACGCCACGTGACTGTGAGGTCATAATGCTATGTAATATCAGAGTACCACGTGACGTCCTGATGCCACGTGACTGAAACTAAACGCTGTCATGTGACATCAAGGCATCACAGGACGTCAGGGTATCACTTAACACTGTGGTGTCACATGACGTCATGATGTAACGTGATGACACAGTCCTTCGTGAGGATTCTTTATGACGGTTTTCTCATAAAACTCAGCTCGCTATTTTCTGCCGCAGTGCACGTCTACACCTGCCTGAACCAAAACCACCACGACGTAGAATCCAGATTGGCGTCTTTCAACGGGGAATTAAAAAGAAGCCTGATGGCCGGCGATGCGGGAGAACAGGTCCAGTACGAAGATGGCGACCACTGGCGCTCCGTTTTTCCTGGCATCCATGTGTACTCCGCCTATCTGGAAAAGGGATCCGCCAGCGACAGTTGGATCGTTCGAATCATCAGCGTCACCGAAAACGACGATCCCAAACTCCAGACAAGTCAGCCGAACTTTCAGTGTTGGATCAGCGCAGGCCGAGCAACTTACGTCGCTCAGGCGACGTACGAGCCATTAAGGGAACACAACTGGCTCCCCCTGGGGACAGCCTCTTTTTTGTGTCCCGTTGAGTTTCCAGAGGAGATTCTGAAGGAGCGAACGGTTCGGGTCGCGCTGGGGATCAGTCACAGGATGGATGTTCCCGTCTGGCTCGACGTCCACATGCCACGAAAGAGCAAGGCCAAGTGCTGCGCCGTGTGCACAACCCCGATCGCGGGACACTTTGACAAGCTTTCCGTCCTCGCTGAATTCGTGGGCTACTACAGCACGGTGGGCGTTCGCCGCTTCGATTTCTACCTGGGGGATGTCTCGCGCGATGTGGAACTTCTGCTCGTTCACCTGCAGCGCGTCTCTGGAGCAGACATCGTGATGCACAAATGGAACCTCCAGTTTAACCGTTCAGAACTTCTGGAACACCGAGCGTCTCAACTAGACTGCTCGTACAGGTCTCGGTTTGAGTCGGAGTACGTCATCAACGCCGACTTTGAAGAGTTCTTGGTACCGAAGCACGGGCGCAGTATCCCCGAAGCCCTGCGGACGCTGGAGGCTAGCTACGGCGAAGACTCGATAGGAAGCATCGTGGTCCAGAAGCAGTTCTTCTGCTCTGAATACGCTTACGATAAAGATAACCTGGACAGAAGATACGAAGTACCCCTGATGACTCGGGTGAGACAACTGCGCGAGGTAACGTCATGGCGGTTCGATGTGCCGTGGAAATACATCACAAAGGCCAACGCTACGGAGTACGCAGGGGCCGGCTTCGCTCTGGGGCGTCTTGGAGAGCGTCGGGTTGTTGATGCCGGTGAGAACGCACTGGCCTTGCACCATTACACGAGCTGCTGCGGCTTGAGTAAGCCGGTGCTGTACGGACTGGTGAGCGTTGACGTTTTGTCGAACAGTGAGCTCGTGGAGGACGGCGCTCTGAGGAGGTTCGGCGACGCCATAGCGAGCTCGACGGCCATAGCTCTCGTGAACTCATTTGTTGCTGCTGCGGTTGAATCGTACACCGGAGCGTACGAGCCGTTAATGCCGCTGGACGGAGAGTTTCACTTCTGGTACCTCTAGAGTCGTAAGATATATGACATCACCCGTGTTTTGTTATCACCGTCTTTCCCCAGTAATTTTCATGTCTCTTTTCACAGTTTGGTTCAAATTAGTCTTAAAAGGTTCATTTGTAAGTCTTGCCTTTCTACAAATAGAAATAACACCCGGTTATACTAAAAAAACTCAGTGGTGTCAGAACGAGGAGAAAAGGGCAATACTATCTGCAGCCTCCCACTCCCCTCCCCCCCCCCCCCCCCCCCCCGTTTTTTTTTTCGAGCTCTTTAAAGTAGCAACTGCGTTACAAATGCCCTTTTATTTAATACGTGTATGCTCACAAGTCACAGATGTGATTTATGGTTAACCTCCTATTGCTCTTTGGAACACGTACGATATTTGAACCGAACTTCAGCAAAGATTTCGTTCTGGTGTGTCCTGTCGATGAATTCAACTTTCTTACAAGGGGCATTGATTGAGTACGTAACCAAAAAGCCGTATTTTTTTGCCCACAATGTGCGAAGAGACGAAAGCGATAGCTCTAGCACGGTCGAGCAATGCGGGTGGAATGGCGCCGTCACGTACCCGAGGACGGAGGTGCGACGTGGTTAATTCTCATAGCCGTCGTGGTAGGCGTCGTGGATGCCACTGACGACTGCCACCAGTGCTCGGTGATCCGTGAAGCAAGTGGATAAGCGCGGGAGAAGTTTCTTAAACCATCCAACATTAAGCGTAGTAACCTAACTGGACACTGCCAAAGTGGGATTTCGCATAATGCGAGTAATGTTTGGAAACAAGTCTTTCGAGCAGACGACACGAAGATTCTCCCTTCGTCGCGCCACTCTTGGCGGGACGCCAGGACTGCCCTCTTCGCTCTCTTCGTGGGGCACGGCCGACGGAAGTCCCGACTTCCCTCTCCCTAGCGGCGAGGACAACCCACGAGGTCGAAATCACTTTAATATCGCTTTAGAACAAAATCCCGTAATTCGTGAACTAATGTTCTGTATACATGTTTGTAGGCATGGATTCCCGACTGGTGTCTCATGGGTGCAAGCACGTGCAGCACGCGCGTTAAGGTGACTTTGGCAGGCCTGCAATTGCACGTGCTTCCTTACACGAGCAGGAACATGGTGGCGGCCAGATGCCCAGTTTGCAATCGCGTATACACGTCAATATTCACTGTCAATCGATGACAATGTATTGGCTTGAGCAAATTGGCCTATACCTCAGCGAACAAAAGCAATATCTGCGATAGTACGTATTTTTTATTTGCCCTTTTTATTTTATCGTATTGAGTTTTGTGAGTCGCAATAGCATGAGCTTTCACAGATTCGTAAATGTCACTGGCGATTTCCCCAGTGCCCTGTTCTGACCAGTGACATGCAATAGATGTGATTACTCGCAGATGTCTGAATTACTAATAGGGTGTATGACTCCAACGATATTGATCTTTTACACAATCACCGATCTAGACCAAATTTTTCTACGAGGTGACAACTGCATAGGTTGAACTTAAACGTTAAAATTTCAAAAAAACACATTACACGGTGAATAATGAAATGATGAAGGTTAGCCAAAACGTACAGTACTTGGGAGTACTTTGAATCATACTGTCAAGGACAGAAAATATGCGTAGTTTTATATTGGACCAGCTTGAAGCAAGACTTAGGATGCTTCGCCTTTTATATTTATTTCTCTGTGCACCAACTACATCTCAATGAAACTTCTTTTTTCTTCAAAATACCGCTTAACAACATTGGCGGTCACTATTTATTGGGCACGAAGTGTGCGGTTGAAATTCTAGTTCACTGTACTCAGAGTGCGTTCTCGAGCAGTGGCGGACTCAAATAATTAACGCGGCAGTGACGAAATGGCAGGCACCCCTGAAAATAGTCTATTGCCTGATATTCGCGCGAGACGTGCTGTACTTGTGGTGTGAACAACTTTCTGTGGCCATTCGCGGTGAGAAGCTTGCTAGTGGCGGTTCTGTTCATAGTGCCTATAAGCAATTGGCATTGCACGTGCTTGCAGCAGCAGAGGAAGCTGTAGTCACTTCACTCTGGGTTGTGAAAAATTCCACCAGGCGGCGACACCCGAACTTCTCGCCGCGAATATACTAAATATGCAGACAAAGCGGTGGGCGCAAGAGCGTTCGAGCGCCGATTAAAGTTGCGCACGAGCGGCTTCTGAAATGCCCCAGAAAGTCGTCCACGAGTATGCACCAGTGAAGTCCTCAGCCCAGCGTGCGATTTCCTCAGCCCAGCTCGCGCATGTTTGTCGCTTCCGAAAGCAAGCAAATCACGCGCCACACGCACGAACACTGAAAATGGAACCGGTTAGGAGCCCTTTTGACAAAATAGACTCCCCCCCCCCCCCCCCCACCCCCCCAGATCTACTCTCATCATACTGACATTGTTGTTGTTTCTCCGCTTTTTTAGGGAAGAATTCCTGAAGATTTGAATTGATTGGCTTGAAGGTCTTTTTGGTAAAATTACGGAGTTTGAGAGAGAGTGGTAACTTTTTTTGTATATCCAAGTTCTGTTTAAATAATAGTGTTTGTATATTACAGTTACGTTGACGAACTTTAACCTTCGTACAATCCCACCCTTTGTAATAATGCCAAACTTCAATGCAGGTTTGTTTGTGAAACAATAAAAACAACAACATCGATTACATGTGAATGCACTTTTTTTTCTTCTTTTTGTTATAATAAAAGGGCGTTTCTTCTCTGAAAGCAAACGATACTTCTGTCGGTGAATTGTACACCTCCATGGCTTAATTACATTGAAACAAAGAAAGCGCATATGTCTTGTTCTGCAACAGTAGTGGGTGCATTCACTCGCCGCCATCGCTGTGTCCGTTGAAGCTCGCACGCGCTAAAATTGAGTTTCCCTAACGCTAGTTTTATACCATTAAAGTTAATTGATGTTCATTACCATAGCCTCCTCTATACTCACAAAGCCTGGCAGTTCGATGACGGAGCCATAGAGTGCCCGGTCGCAGATTTGGAGCGCGAAGATATAGTAGCACAAAGCATCTCTAGGGGAGCCTGAAACATGGCTTTCAAACCCGAAACATGGTTTTCAAATCCGACGAGAAAAGAAGCGGTAGCCCGAGGAACGGGAGAAGCACAAGCGGACATTCCATCGCTCGGGACAAGTGTGTTTCGGCGTCTCGCCGCAGCGGGGCGCCCGTTAGATGACTCTTGTCTGCGGCTCTACCTTTTCCCTTTCGGCGGCCGCGTCACGTGATGATCTGCCAGGCATTGTCAGTAGAGAGGAGGCTATGCGATTACAGATAAGTAGCTTTACCCACACCTCCCACTTCCCGTCACTCATTATACTCCGTCTCACCACAACTCGGCAAACGGCGAATGCTGCGGTCCCAGCGAGCCAATCGGCGCGTCGGAGGGAGGCACGTGACCCTATTCTACCTCCCTAGTGGCGCGCAGTGCTGTCGAAGCCACGGGCGGAAGAGAGAGAAAAGCTGCTTTTGTACGGATTTTTAATGACAGGTTGATCTTCCAGGGTGACAAAAGTGACGTCTGGGACGCACATAAGAGGGTGAGGGGAGCAACCTCCTACCCTATTCTCCCACTGCATGGACCTTATTTCTTTGGTAAGGGCTGTCGCGTGCTTCGCATCCGTTCCCCTGATTGGCTCGAGGGGAGCGTAGCGTTCTCTCTTTGCCAAGTTACGATCGAACACTCAATTCTCAGACATCACGCCACTGTCTTGGCGCTGCTATCGGCACAGCACCAGAGCCATATATACTCTACACGGCGCATGCGCAGACTCGTCATCTCACACAAATCTTGCTTCTGTGCGCGCGCACTGCCCACACCTGGGGCAAACACGGGCTTGCGTGTAAACAGTGTGTCGGCATGTAGTGATGGGACCGCAAGTTCGATTACAAAAACTTGAACAGACACATCATACTACATTTTGTCAACATGGTTGACGCTCGTCTCTGGAGTGTGACCAGCTGGCCATAGAAGAGCGCATCTGAGAACGGTAGGACGTTTCTTTCGGATACGGCATCCAGCACCCACTAATTGCCTTTCGACGTACTTTGGTTGTCAAAGATAGGAAGCTCGCTCTGGGGGCAAGACAACCTGAAGGAGCTGCTTATTCGCACAATGCCACAGAATGTTAACACGAACCCTGAAATTCCACTCCCAAAATATAAAAAAAAAAAGAGGAAAGCAAAGCCAGCTGTTGGCTTGCACGTGGTTTTATAAATAAAAAGAAAGCCGGGGTTAGGGTTGGAGCGTTCGTTTCAAACGCTTTGGAAAATGAGAAAGTGCACCGCCGGAGTCAACGGTATAGCTCTGCTCAAGCGCAGCTGCCGCGAGCCCAGCCAGAAGCGCCGTGTTGCAACGGAAGCGTGCCACCTAAAGGTCGTGTACATACATAAACTGGCTCTCGCTTTCCCCATTTCCACGTGTGCGTTGTTGTACCGTTACGCTCTTCCGAACGCGGTAAAAAATTACGAATAAAAGTGTTGTGCATCGTTGCTAATACCGTCAGATTGTTGCACTCGGACTCGTGCTAAGAGCGCGCAGTACGCGGGCTTTCCTGTCTTTCGCTTACAGACTCGCCTTTTGTCCACAGCGACTCGTCACTTTTGTGTAAAGAACACCATGCGTCGACTTTCTTGAACATACAACAGACTAAGTTGTGTTATCGTGCCGCGGCGTTCCGGAATCATGAGGATAAGGTGGTCCAATACTGCTCAGGAATTAATTGATGAGTAGGACTGCTGTGGTTTGGCTGAGGTTTCGTTGAGTCATTTATGCCGCTGAGGACATAAGAGTATAGAACAGCAGAACCGATACTAAGCCAGCCAGCAGCTGAGGCAGCAACTTCAGCTTCTTCTTTTCGGGTTTCGGCGCAGCGGGCGAGCCCCTTCGCGCCGGCCAGCGTGCCGTGGGGTCCGCTGGGACTGAGATCACACAACACCACGACGCCCTACTCTGATCGCTAGGAGCTCTTCGCGCAGCAACGTAATTCATGCCCGTTCCATGTCGGATACCCGCCTGCTCTCAGACGGTGAGTGCTCGACGCCATTGCGCTTGTTCTAGGTTAGTCAGAAGCCACTTGTCCCGTCGTTAAAGTAGCACGTTCTTCGCGGCTAGCATCTACTGACTTTATAAACAGTTGATATCGTTAAAGAGCATGCTTGGCGTCCACGGCAGGTTTTTGAGAAATACCAAAGAGATATATTCAGCTGGGGCTCCAAGTGCCTTCTTCCTCTTTATGCCTTTTTGTCTCGAGAGCTCTGTATGTCCATTCTGTTCGCTGAGTGCAATGGTCATCAAGTGTGGCGACCTCGACCGCTCCCATGCTTTATGGCACCGCTGGAGACTGTCCGACTGATTTTGCAGGTTTGTCTTGATACAATATGTGACTACGATTTTGTTGACTCGGCGTGGTTATGCATGTTCTCACCTCGCGACCAAGCAACAGAATTGCAAAAGGGCGCCAGGCTGTGTTCACGATGTTCTGTGTGCTGGGAAATTTTGAATGAAGAGAATTGTATTAATTGGTACGTAGTGTAAAGCTAGAGATTAAACAGTCTTCTCACGCGGAATGCCTTAAGCTAGAGCGAGCCCTGTCCACCTCACAGAACCCAAAGATGACCATCTCTGCGCTTCAAAATCTCGCGCAGAGATACGCAATTTCAGCATATGTGCATTCTATAGCACGCGAAAGGTAGGTATAGTCACTGACAAAGTGAGAACGACGGGGAGGTCCTTCAGTTGTCCCGCCTCCAGCGCGAGATTCCTACCTACGGTAACACTTTTGTGTCTCGTAAGCTTCGAGCGTGTACGCGCAGCCGAAGCATGACGGAAGGCAACGAACGCTTTCTGGAGGCCAGGCAACTAAAGGAGACACCCTGTCGTTATCGTCTTGCCAGTGGGCTCTTGAAACGTTACGAGATTGACGACAATATTCGCAAACCCTGATCCTGCAGCTCCTCCGACGTTGGAGGTGGAACTTCGCCGCTTGAGATGCTTTCACCGCACTCCCTTCTGCATGGCGTCCATTCTGAACGATGGCGCCGGCGGCGCCGATGCCGTCGCCACCCCTCAAGACCGGACAGGGGACACAGACGACGAGACCGTCAAAGCCGTACCAGCACCGAGCTGGAGCCTGCTCTCAGCCGAGACCGACTCAGACCTGGTGGCCAACGTCTCGGCTGAACTGAGCAACTTCAGCAGACGCACACTCACGCGGCACGACTTCAAGACCATCGTGAAGATATGCGGCCTTCCGCTGTACCTCAAGTTCCCCCTCTTCCAGATGGTCTCCAAATCTCCCACGAAGCAGGCCGTCCTCGACGTCTGTCGGAAGCTGCATCGAGTCGCCGGTAAAGACAGGCTGTCCAAGGTCGTCTTCGTCCTCACCAAGGGCCGCAGGACGTGCCTCCAGCCTGGTGACTTCAGGGACATGATACAGGATCTGATCGAGACGCACAGCGGGCTCATCTTCCTGAGGCCAGTCACCCGTTCGCACACTGTTTACATCGATACTGTCGTGTCCCGACTCTTCTACGAGATCGGCAAGACGTGGACGTGGCGGCTGGGTATGGCCGAACTGCGTCGCAGTGACTTTCTGTCCCAGTTGGATTCGCTCGAGTGCCACAACGACTTCATGAACGTCGAGGGTGTCTTCTCATACAAAGACGCTTACGTTATTCACGCCATCTTTAATGCACTCGACCTGGACAACGATCGACTTTTGAACCGACTCGATCTTGCCCGCTACGAGAAAGGGGCCCTAACGCCCAAGGTCATCGAGAGAGTGTTCGCGCTACTGAGCACGTCTGCCATGACGTACGTGGACTTCGTCGTGTTCCTCCTGGCTGAAAAGGACAAGTCCCATCCCAGGAGCATCGAGTACTGGTTCAACAGGCTTGATCTGGATGGTGACGGCATGCTGACCATGTACGAGCTCGAGGCCTTCTTTCGCGAACAATACGATCGTGTGGCCATTCTCATGAATGATCCGGTGTCCTTCGAAGACGTCTACAGGCAGATGATCGATCTGGTCAAGCCCAGATCGTTGAATCTGTTCGCGTTGTCGGATCTCAAGCGGTGCGCTCTGGCGTCAGTGTTCTTCAATACGTTCATCAACACGTACGAGTTTATCCACCATGAGATCTTCGACCCGTTCGATGCAGATAGACTCCGCAATGGGTCCACGCAGTGGGAGCACTTTGCCAAGACAAAGTTTAGTCTTTTGATGGAGGAAGAGGACCGGGAGGGCTCGTCTGAGGATGAACTGTCGTAAGAGAACCACGAGGTTGGCGACTCTTAGAAATGATAAATTGCTGGCTCTTATTGATAAAAACGAAGCGCATTAAAGTTGAGGCAGCATGCTTTTGTTTTGATAGGTGTAGGGTAGTGGAGGTCATGAAACGCACAGAAAGAACAAACTGCCATTTGAATTATTATCTCATAAATTAAATGAGAAAATGCATGTTAAAATTGAAATACACTGAACAAGCGAGGCGGCGAAAGGTACTTAAATCTATGATAACAAATCTAAAACTTAAATCCGCGATCAATGACGAGAGGCACTTAAATTTGCAAATTATTTTGAGTAATATACAATACGTTTCGGCCTGACTCAGGCCGAAACGTCGACTAATTATGTCATAAAACTCCACTAAGAGCTTCGATGTTCCTTTACTCACGTTTACACTTTATATACAGTCAAACGCCCTACAACGAACGCTTCTACTACGAAATAGCCTGTACAACGGGCTGTTTCGTTGCTTACCTGCTTTATTGGGGTCATTAAAACGCGCGACGGATATAACGAAGTGACGTGTATAACGAAGAATTATCGCGGTCCCACACGCTTCGTTATACAGGCGTTTGACTGTATATATATAGACGCTTTACACACGCGCCAGATTGAGCCGCCATAGCTGCCCTTCTCTTGTCTTACCGAGATGCCGAGCCACTGAAGCGGGCGTTGACGGGTCTTCACAAGGGCCTATGCTGGGCACAAGAACACAGTAGCATCTAAAATTGCAATAACCTGTCCTACTGTGGTAATGATGAAGTGAAGCGAACGGAATAAGAGGGAACAAAAACTGAACGTCAGTTATGGCGGCGCCCATGCACAGCTGCTGTAAAGCGTCTATATATATATATTGTTAAGAAGATTGACGTTCATACTTCGTCATCGTCTTCATTCACAACCACCGTGATCGTCATCGACTCACGCGGCGCATGCTGGCCGAATCAGTTGGAACCTGGTCCTCAACCCACTCGGTTATAGACGCTTTACACACGCGCCAAATTACAGCCGCCATGGCTGACCTTCTCTTGTCTTACCAAGATGCCGAGCAACTGAAACGGTAGTTAACGATCCTCTACAAAAGCCGATGCTTTAGAAAAGGACACAGTTGAATGTAATGTGGCAATAACCTGGCCTGCTATGGTAATGATGAAGTGAAATAAACGAAATAAGAGGAAACAAAATCTGAAGGTCAGTTATGGCGGCGTCCATGCACAGCTGCTGCAAAGCGTCTATACATTAAAAGGAACCTTCCATTATCCATCTAAGAAGAAAGAAACTTCTAAACAGGACAGAGTAAAAGTCAAAGTTAACACACAAGAACTTACAAAAATAAATTGTTAAATGAAAAATAAACTAAAGATTTAAAAATAAAAAAATGGATAAAAATAAGAAAGGGGCCTGACGTCCGTCGACGTTTCGGCAGTGGCACTGCCTTCTTCAGGATGGGGGCCTGTTTTTTCTTTCCCGCGTAATTAGCGTTCTTGTGCCTAGTCTTCATTATTCCCGTAAACTAATACAACTTTTTTTCGGCACTTCACCCTTTTTTCTTGCGTGACTTTTTTCGCCATTAAATTAGTATTTTATTTTTATCATCCTACGGCTGCTGTGTCTGCGCACATTACTTTTGCCTATATATATATATACCGGGTGTTTTTGTGAAGACTTTCAAAAATCCTAAAAATTAGGGCGATTGAAAAAAGAAGAAACTCTCTTCGGGAACAAACTGCTAGCCACGGCGGACGTCAGGAATTGCCAAAAACCTACTAATTAGCCAGATAATTAATTAAAATTTGTTAATTAACTTTTTAATTAGTGGAAATAGACATATGGTTCCAATTAGAAAGTTGCTGAGCATTATCGAAAACCACTAAATCAGACATTTTCAGAAAGACTTTAAGCGCTTGAGAAGAGTAGTAGCGCACTAAAATTACCACTCGTGAAGCAGGTACAAGGCTGGGGCTAAATAAGAGGCGGAAAAATCGCGCGGGCGCCTTACCGCAACTGCTAGCCTTGTACCTGCTCCACGAGTGGTAACTTTAGTGCGCTACTACTCGTCTCACGCGCTCAAGGTCTTTCTGAAAATGACTGATTTAGTGGTTTTCGATAACGCTCAGCAACTTTCTAATTGGAACCATATGTCTATTTCCCCTAATTAAAAAGTTAATTAACAAGTTCTAATTAATTATCTGGCTAATTAGTAGGTTTTTGGCAATTCCTGACGTCCGCCACGGCTGGTAGTTTGTTCCCGAAGAGAGTTTCTTCTTTTTTCAATCGCCCCAATTTTTAGGATTTTTGAAAGTCTTTTTACAGGATGTTTTTTTTTAAGCTTAACAGATTTGTTTAAAAAAGCCGTGAAAGCAGGAAGACATATAATAGGGGGTTAATCGTAACGTTCAGTCGGCTAATTAATTAAAATTCGTTAATTAACTTTTTGATTAATGAAAATAGACATATGGTTTCAATTAGAAACTTGCTCAGCGTCACCCAAAAACCGCTAAATCAGTAATTTTCAGAAAGACCTTGAGCGCGTGAGAAGCATAGTAGTGCACTAAAGTTACCACTCGTGGAGCAGGTACAAAGCTAGCGGTTGCGATAAGGCGCCCGCGCGATTTTTCCGTCTCTTATCTAGCCCCAGCCTTGTACCTGCTCCACGAGTGATAACTTTGGTATAATACTACGCTTCTTACGAGCCGAAAGTCTTTCTGAAAATTACTGATTTAGTGGTTTTCGATGACGCTGAGCAAGTTTCTAATTGGAACTATATGTCTATTTTCATTAATTAAAAAGTTAATTAAAAAATTTTAATTAATTAGACGACTGATCGTTACAATTAGCCCCCTACAATATGTCCCCCTGGCAGGGCCGTACCCAGAAAAAAATTTCTGGGGGGGGGGGGGTTTCGGGGACAACGGCGGCCATTTTGAAAGTGTCTATTGTCTTATTTTCGCCTATGAATCATGTGCATCGGTGGCATATAATGCAGAGTTACAGCAAACCGGAGAACCGGTCCAGGTTTGGTACCCGGTAGCCGACCGGCGCCACTGCGCGTGCGCAGAGGTCGAGATTAAAATCGGCTGGCCGCCAGTGCACCGACCAGGGCCGTACCCAGAAAACAATTTCGGGGGGGGGGGGGGGGGGGGTCAGAACCCCCTACCCCCCCCCCCCCACCCCCCTTGGTTACGGCCCTGCCCCCTGGCCATATAACTCACCTCCACAAGCGGCATAAGTGTAACTTTCACGGCTTTTTTAAACAAATCAGTTAAGCTTAAAAAAAAAAAAAAAACACCCTGTACATATATATAAACGACCATACAGATAAATGAACCGTACTTTATCCAGTGATTCAAAGGATCAAAGTTTTACGAACCCACCAAAAGTCAAAATAAACGGCGGAGCCAGGATTGGAACTCTGGGCCTCCCAATGTCCGGTCGGGTGTGCTGACCCGACCGAACAATGCACAAACTTATTCCTAAAATGCACCAAAATATTTGTAAATCTTAGCTTAAAGGGAAGATGGGGCACTTGTACATTTGAGAAAAAACGCATGAATTGCGTTCATTTGGCCTTTAGAATAACAGATATCAAAATTATATTTCAATGCGACGCGCCGGAGAGCCACAAGAGCAATTTCAAAATAGGGCTGAAGCCCCGCCCCCCTAGCCTTGGGCAGCCAAAAGAGCCGTCGATGACGTCACGGACAGCGACTGTCTTTCGCGTTTTTCTCGCGTTTAACAATACCTACGCTGCAAATGGTTTGGGTATTTGGGTTCACAGGGTAAAAATACACTAGACTTCACTTCTAACTCATTTCTTCCAAGAAGCTCCGTAGCTTCCCTTTAAGTTACGTCGAATACCCTGTATATATTCCAGTGCTCTGGTATTTTGCCTGTTAGATTTGTCAGACTTCACGAAGTTGTAGACACTGAAACAGAACGTATGAAATGGGTCGTTAGCAAACCAGTTAATTAAATTAAATTAAATTAAATTTTATATTTTTCAAATGTTGGGGTCCACCATACGAAAAGCTGTCACAGACAACTTGAGAATGTCTGGGGGCCTGTGCAAGCAACAGCATTTCAGTCAAATAAATTTACATAGCACATCGTCACATAAATTAATATAGCACAGGTTTGACAGTTTTGGCACTTAATTATTAAAGAAACAAAAACAATACTAAATATGTATATGTAAATTATGATAATAAAATAGTTGAGATACTTATCCATAACACAGACTCGTCTGACCAACGAACAATGATGGCTTTGAAAACCATAGTGATACATAAGATACAAAATATAATTAGAATTGACTACGGCAGTCCTCGTATTTATTTATACGAGACCACATATATGAATTTACTGTATGCTAGATCTATTAATACTCCTAAACAGTAGCGAACCCCCCAAGGGACACTGCTACCCTTGAGCCTGGCCCCCAGCGTACTGCAAAAGTTTTCATGACACTAGAATCATCGTGGCTTTCGTTCTTTTCAGTCATTCTTTGATATAAACTTCTCTGAAAAGATGTTATGTGAGGTCGTTACGTTTTAAATAGCTTTCCTTCCTATTTTTCTGTCGAACTCGAAATGATGCTGTTCGGGATAAACGCACGTTTCTTGTGTCCTGCCGAAAACGTAAATCTCGAAAACGAAACTAAATTAATATTGGCGAAAACCTAGTTCCAGATAGTGCCACTACGCGGGACGTCGAGCGCCTCCCGTCCCGCGCTACCGGATCGTTTGTTGTTAGCAAAATGGCCGCTTCCATGGACGCGCCGGGTGGTGACAGTCCCAAAAGAAAAGCTGACACGCAGGTACCTGCCGAAGAAAGTGATCTGCTTCTAATCCGACCGCTGGGCGCGGGCCAAGAAGTCGGACGATCATGCATTATCCTCGAGTTCAAAGGCAAGCGCATCATGCTCGACTGCGGCATCCACCCGGGCATGTCGGGACTCGACGCGCTCCCCTACGTCGACTTGATCGAAGCGGACGAGATCGACTTACTACTCGTAAGCCACTTCCATCTCGACCACTGCGGCGCTCTGCCCTGGTTCCTGCAGAAAACGACGTTCAAGGGCCGCTGTTTCATGACCCACGCGACTAAAGCCATCTACCGCTGGCTCCTGGCCGATTACATCAAAGTCAGCAACATCGGCACTGAACAGATGCTCTATTCGGAGACGGACCTAGAGGCGAGTATGGAAAAGATCGAGACGATCAACTTCCACGAGGAGAAGGAGGTGAACGGGATTCGGTTCTGGTGCTACAACGCGGGCCACGTCCTCGGCGCGGCCATGTTCATGATCGAGATCGCAGGAGTCAAAGTTCTTTACACAGGCGACTTCTCGCGGCAGGAGGACCGGCATCTGATGGCCGCCGAGATCCCCAACATTCACCCAGACGTGCTCATCATCGAGTCGACGTACGGCACCCATATCCACGAGAAGCGAGAGGAGCGCGAGGCTCGCTTCACGGGCCTGGTGCACGACATCGTGAACCGCGGTGGCCGATGCCTCATCCCGGTCTTCGCCCTCGGCCGCGCCCAGGAGCTCTTGCTCATTCTCGACGAGTACTGGTCCAACCACCCCGAGCTGCACGACATCCCGATCTACTACGCGTCGTCGCTGGCCAAAAAGTGCATGGCCGTCTACCAGACGTACGTGAACGCCATGAACGAACGTATCAGAAGACAGATCACCATCAACAACCCGTTCGTCTTCAAGCACATCTCGAACCTCAAGAGCATCGAGCATTTCGAGGACGTGGGGCCATGCGTCGTCATGGCCAGTCCCGGCATGATGCAGAGCGGGCTCTCCCGCGAGCTTTTTGAAAGCTGGTGCACTGACCCGAAGAACGGTGTCATCATTGCCGGCTACTGCGTGGAAGGGACATTAGCCAAGACAATTCTCTCCGAGCCGGAGGAGATCTCCACGATGGTCGGCCAGAAGCTGCCGCTGAAGATGTCCGTAGACTATATCTCGTTCTCGGCCCACACCGACTACCAGCAGACGAGCGAGTTCATCCGGACGCTGAAGCCGCCACACATCGTGCTCGTGCACGGCGAGCAGAACGAGATGGGGAGGCTGAAGGCGGCCATTGTCCGGGAGTACGAAGATGACGTCGAGACGAGGATTGAGGTGCACAACCCACGAAACACGCAGGCCGTCGAGCTCTACTTCAGGGGTGAGAAGACGGCGAAGGTGATGGGGTCGCTGGCGGTTCAGGCGCCCGAGCCGGGACGCCAGCTGTCCGGGGTCCTGGTGAAGCGCAACTTCAGCTACCACCTGCTGTCGCCAGCCGACCTGGCCAAGTACACGGACATGGTGATGAGCACGGTGGGACAGCGGATGAGCCTCAACTACTCCGGCTCGTTCCAGGTATACCTCGCTTCGAGTTGCGCTTTGATATGTTGTTTGTGCAAATTGCAACTGTTGGGGGTTGGTTGGGAGATGCTAGTGTAGATGGTGTCTGAAGGCCCATTAACACATTTGAGTTTGAGCATGATCGTGTTCAACTGTCTTGCCACCGTTTACGACGAGAAACCGTATGGTTGCCGTCTATTGGGCAGTCCTGGAATGTTTCCGATCTTCGCATCTTTTATGCATCATTCTTTTACCGTGTTCTTGAAATAATTCTTACACCGTAGTGATGTTAGGAGGTTGTTTTCCCCGGCCTCGATGGACCACCTTGAGTTGCCGTCGAGGACTGGGGGATTGTGGATGAAGCCAGTTGCTGGAGGGCTGGATGTGTCGGTGGTGATGCAAAGGCGACCGACAACAATGGGTTAACAAGGATGACAAAACTCTACTTCGATAAAAAGAATCAAACAGTTACATAAAGGACGACAAGTGTAAACAGATCACGCGTTGTAATAAACTGCCCCGCACGGCTTACAGACTGCAGGGGACACCTCGGCGTCAGATGGTCCTAACGCGCATGGTAAAAACGGCGGCTACCTTGTAGCCGCAAAGACAAAGATGCTGTCCCGCACGACAGGTAACGCGGCGCACCGCGGGAGTTGAACGTAAGTGGGTCGCTCACGAATCCATTCCAAAACTCCAAGATTTCCCTGTCCGGCCAGGGTCTAAAGCAGCGTGCTTGAACCCGTCCGGGCCAATCAAGGTTCGAGCCTGGTCCCATTGGCTTGAGGAACCAACGCACTTTCGACCAATTGGAGGAGAGATCATTGCTCTGAGAGTGAACCATAAGCCAAGCCTTGGTTCTCAGAACCCGAGGATAAAATACGACTTATGGCTTTCCTATCTGCCACAGAAGATACACATTCGCGAACGGCGAAAACCACCGACACATGTCGGCTGAGGCACGTCTATGCCACCACGAAATGTTGTTGAAAACAAAGTAAAAAGAAAGGCACGCCAGGCATATACAGAATATATGGGGAGCTCCTGGTCCCCGGGCGTCACGAAAGAGTTCCGAGACACAACTCCGAGAGCTCTGAAGCGCTTTGTCTCCCAGCAAACGACCTGGCGACCGGTGACGTGTTTATGTCTCGGCCGTGGGTTCCCCGGAAAGCCTTTACGCCTTTACGTCTGGTCCTGCATTTCAAGGTCAAGGAGTAGATAGATGCACGCGGCGCTTAAACAGCAACGTCTCGTGGGCAATTTAAGTATTTTCACATGCGTCTGAAAACCGGGGTTTCGCATAAAATTTTAAGGGGCGATATGCCCGCGGCGATTTCCACGGTACCGGGAAAAGCTAGAAAACAAGCAGAATTCCAACTCATAAAGACACGGGACCCCCTGAAACGCGACACTCGTCTACCAAAGCACATTCCCATTCCCGACCGAAGCGCCAGCAGGCAAATAAACAAAACAGAGCCAGAAATGCCCACCTGGGCCCGTTTGCTCGAAGCTGGTTAACTAACCGCGGTTAACCGGATTTCCCTACGAGGGGGAATTTTGGGTCACGTGACCGGCAGAGTAAGGACGGCGGGGAAACATGGCGGTGCCCCGGTGAGTGAGCGCCGCTCGCTTTGGAACTAATACGTCGTAGTAACTGCAGTAGCGGGCGCGTTAGTCAGCAATGAATGGCGCAGGAGGTTTTCGCGTTGCCTTACCTCACTTAAAACGCAAAGCATGAGCAATAACCTCGCCGCATTTTTTAGATAGACTTTCGACTCTGGCCATTCCTAAACCTAAATGAACGCGATAGTTGTCGGCATGGCAACGTCTTTGGAAAGTGGGTTGCCTTGACTCAATCGGCCGGGTATTGATAGCACACAAAAGCAGACAGCGTTCCCATAGACCTTTTGCTAAATTTCAAAAGCACCAGGGTTCATGCTACGAGTGTAGTTACACGCGCTGCACCTGCTGGCGTCTGCAGTAATAACTGTTCTGAAGCAAAAAGCCTAAAACAAATTTTGCCGTGCACGCCCGTTTGTCAAAGATTTATTATGATTATTTACTTCAAATCTTTTATAAGTGGAAAGCCAGCGCGCGCGGGTCATAGAATTACACTTCCAGCGTTCTTCTCGATGTTCGGGTAATTTATGCATAGGTCAATTTTCAGTGGAGCCGAGTTACAGGTGTTTCAATTTATGACGGTGTCATATAAAGTTGTTACATTCTGGCCAACCATGCTGCCGGTGTACCGCCCGCCTTTCACTGCTCACTTCTTCCTTATCGTTTCTAGGACTCAACTTGGTCGTCCTCTTTCGAACTCGAAAGGAAATTTCAACAAGGCTTTTCTTCACTTCATACAGCCAAATATTTAGAAAATTTCCAAACAAGGGTTAATTTAGTTTTACCTTGCCGATTATTTGTACCACGAGCAATAAAAATTGTTTCTTAAGCTCGAATGTATGCCACGCTGCGTCGCGAAAACCAGGCAGCGCGCATTTTTTGGGTCCCCCCATTTCGGGAACCTTTCCACGGAAGCCACGTATCTTCGCTACAGCCAGTAGGTGACACCAGCTACCACCCCATAATAAAACACGGAGCTATCGCTCATCCAGTCCTCGTCAAACTTGCCTAGGTACTTGTAGGTACCTAGTAGGGAAGGGCGGTTAACTTTTAACCGCGGTTAAAGTTAACCGGCTTCGAGCAAACGGGCTCTGGCAGTAGAAAAGAAGAAATGCAATCACCTCTACAACCATTATAAGCGATCGTTTGCAAAACCTTCGGTGTTGTTATGTGCGGATCGGGACTGTTAAAGGGCTATCTGATAGATGGCGCCAGCGGGTTATCTCATGTAGAGTTCCTGTATAGGCTCCCTATGGGAGCCAGAGTTAACGTTCATCCCCGTAGCGCAGGCTTTCCTGCACGGCCCGAGATTCTGCTCGTCACATCACTAAATACTGCGAATAGCGGTGCCACTTTTTTTTTTCCTCATTTCCTGGAAAGCAGAGAAGGAGGCAGAAGCGGGGGTACATACGCTAGGGTGCTTGCAACAGAGGCGAAGCGGCTGTATCAGTAGCCTTTCCGCACGGCACTAGGATTTTGCTCCTCGCGTGATCAATCTCGGCGAATAACGGCGTGACAGCACGTGGAAAAAAGACGAGCAACTCTAGCTTCTGTATGGAGTCTATATGGGAATTATAATCTCGTCGTTAGCGGACGCGATGCAGTTGATTGAACACAACTGTGTGTTCGTTCAACTCTGCTCAATTCTGGAAATTATAGAATAATGAGTGATTTTACATTAAAAAGCACTCATAAAAGGCACACGTCATTTGCTTTGCGAAACATGGGATATATCTTGTTAAATCTTATTTTAAACAAGCAAAAATTTAAACCGAAATTTCGGCTCCGTCGGGCAACGTTGGCCTCTAGCCGCCAAAAACATGGCTACCACGTCGTTTGACATGTCGCATCATTTTATATTTAACGATGGGCGGGATTGGGTGCAGGCCACCGTAGGGGCGGGCGTGTGCCTGGCGCAAATGTCTTCTTCATTGCACTGTTTACCACGTTTGGTGTCTACAACATTCAATGACATCTGCACAACTGCAGCATCAGTCTGCGCACGTAGTGTGAACGAAACTCCGAGGGACACTAATCCCAAACGTTGAGACGATTACGGTGGTTGTGACACGAGAGACGGTGGTAATGGCGGGGCGGCTTCCAAGAAGTGCAGGCATGTTACGCCAATCACAAGAACACCGCTGAGCGCTGAGAGGAAACATTACTGCCGTCGCCCGTTAAGCTTGCCCGGAGTAAAAAACAAAAAGGATCAACGTTGATGTTTAGCTCAATGTTGGCTATGCCAACGCCATAGTCTTGATTGCACCTCAATTTGGCTGTTAGAGTCAGCCGATTTCCCAAACTTGGCGCATTCCAAATTTTGCCGGACCGTTTAGGAAACATCTAGAGAGGACTAGGTCGTAATATTTGTTGTATGTTCTTCCTAGGTGACACTGAAGATGACTGCATTGTTTTTCTTAAAAACAAAAATGAATTGAAAACGGCCTTGTTTTGTCACTTCTATCCCAGATGCTGCACTTCTTCCTCAACCAACTCTCGGGGGACGTCGAGATCGTCGAGGGCGCCAAGAAGGCACTACGCGTCTTCGGCAAGGTCACCGTGGTGCAGGAGAGTCCGGGCATGGTCCTGCTCGAGTGGAACTCAAGCCCCATGAACGACCTGTTCGCAGACGCGGTCATCACCGTGGTGCTGCGTGCACAGTGTTCTTCAACCCCGAGCAGAAGCCTGCCCTCGACGCTGATCAAGGTGGACCGGATGCACTTCACCGAATGCCTCATGGAGACGTTGGCGGAGATGTTTGGCGAGGACTCGGTCGGCAAGGTTGTGAAGGGCGAGCGCATGATGGTGACCGTCAACGACCGAAGCGCCCACATCAACCTCAGGAGCCTGGAAGTGCAGTGTGAGGGCGACGACGTTCTCCAGCAGATCGTCACCACGGCGGTCACCAAACTGTACAACTCCATGGCGCCGCTCAAGGTGTGACTCGACGGACGGCCCTTTTATTATGTTTGTTTTCTGCTGTAAATGAAGTTTCAACAACACAGAAGGTCTGTGTCGAGTGTCTTGTCTTGGGTGGCAAACAAGAGTAATTGTGTGTTGCGTTTCTTTCTGCAGTGGGAAGTTAGCCAGCCCCAATGGATGATTGCTGTCTCCGTTGTAGATGAGAAATTTAGCCAGTGCAGTACAACCGGTACCTTGGGGCCTTTAACGTGCGTCGCTCAGTAGTGATACATATCTGCACACCAGTACAACGCTGATCCAGATCGAAACGGGCAGTGGTGGGGATTGAACCGAGGATCCCTAAGCTGTGGTGTATCCAGGAATTATTTTTGAGGGAGGAGGTGAGGGGGTTGATATGGCTGTGATGTTCATGACTTTGGGTGAGGAGGGGGGGGATCAAAATGCATGTGTATATTATAGGGTCGGCTGGGTTTCCCATAAGCCTCCCCTCTGGCTGCACCACTGTCCCTGGATTTTCAGTGTGAACCTTCACTCCACGACTGTGGTGAGCTAACAGACTTCGCCACCGATCTCCCCTTTCGGGTGGTGGGGCGTTTCTTAGCTGCCCGGAAGTGTTTTTGGTCTCGCCGCGTTCCACCAAGAGCCACTTATGACCTATGCTCAGAGTGTCGGCACAATATTCTCTCGAATTTCTTGTGGGCGCCGCCATTTTAGTGCTTAGTGCAGAGCGGGTGATTGTTACGATTAGAAATTTTGACTTCCCAAGCTTTAGGTACGGTGTCGGAGAGCTCGGCCGATGTCGTTTCTGCTCTGTCGTGGAGTGTTTTACATTGCTAGGGGGCAGAACAGCATTTCTCATAATTTCAGGTGAAGCTTCAGATAACTTGCAACGATGCACCAATATGGCCGAAGCGTTGTTATCCTTTTTTAGTGGCTCCAGTTCCACTAATGAACTTCTGCCTGTCCCAACAACTCTCATTAATTTTTAACAAACACAGGTACTGGCACCGAGATGGCAGCATAAATTAAGCGGCGCAGCTGTACAGGTTGTGCTGTTTCTAGCCTTAGCTGGCATTGTAATGGCTACTTTAGTCAAGTTTGGCGATTGCTGAACTGATCAATCATCAATTACTCATTTGGTAAATTGGGATTGGTGGTGCCAGCCTGTGTAAGATGCATCTTCAGCTGACGGAAGAAAAAGAACTAGGTTTTTTGTACACTACAGGATGGGAATACCTTGTACACCATCCCTATACATGCCTTGCATGTGACGTCATATGGCACCATACCAACCACCATTGCTCCGTACCTTGTGCAGCGTACATTTCGCACCTTCGAATCTGTTTTTTTTAGGCAAGCCTAAGCCGAGAAGCCAAGTTCAAAGGTGACATATGTGGGCTGCAGAAGGTATGGAAACAGAAGCATGGTACGGAGCAATGGCGGCTGATGTGACGTCAATGCAAGTCATGTATTGCCAGCTTTGATCAATTCCATGACCCTTTAACCAGTCTGTTTTGTTGTTGTTTTTACTGGTAGAAGGTAAGCACTGTTTTCCTGCATTTAGTGCAATAAGTTATGTAGGTGAGCAAGTTTGCAGTAATTTGACAATGACTTCTTAAAGATTAATCGCGGTATTTGCTTCACTGATGGATTGCGCCGATGTCACATAGGCCGCCATTCTGGTGGCCTTGCTGCTGAACACGTACCTTTTGCAGCATACACTGTGGACAACCGAATTTATTTTCCTCGGCAAAAACAAGAATGAATGACGACCAGCATGGTGCACTGAAGTAATGTGCAAGCCATGCATGAACTGACACAAGAGTAGTCGTAGTAAGTACCTCTTACTGCAAAGAGTACCGAATTGCACCTAACTTAGATCAATGCCCCAGTCCCTGATTGACTTTTTTTTTTTTTGCACTTCTAAAAGTCAATAGACTTTTTCCTTTTTTCTTTTTTCCTACTGCTCACGCGTGAGGCGACGGCCCGCGCGCGCATCATGCTTCACTGCTTTTCACCGACGTGCCCGGAGAAGCGGCAGACCGCAGCCGAGATCATACATACTAAATCTATAGAGGAAAAGGTCCGCCATTTTCCCACGCATTCTGGCTGCCGCAAGCGGCGGAGTATGCAGGCAGACCCTCGGGGTCCCACATGGTTACCAACTGCCTCCGATTTTACAAATATATCATCAGAGCAGTTTCACGAACTTCAACCATCCACGAACTTACCATGGAAAGATATTCGCGTTCCTTTCGAAGCTTTCTTTTTGCATAGCACGCAGATGTACGGCCTCCCGTCAACACTAAACTAAACTAGATAACCGGCTTCGGTTATCTGGTTTAGCTTACCCGCGCCCGGAAATACGAAACTGCGCAACTACCAGATTTTTTTAGATTTCGACAGAAGGGAATTTAATGCAGCGTAATGAGTATGCTGCTTTTTATAAACCTTAGAATAGCTAAGAATTTCGTTTGCAACGTTAAATTATCACTGTTTATATTGCTGAGAGTTTCCAGTCTTCGCGATTACCATTGCGACTGTCGTCCTTCTGCTGGCAACATTGGTTTCTTTCTCTCGTGTTCTGTCGCTCTCTTTCGCAATCTTTCACTCGGGACCCAGGATGTCGGCGCGCGGGATTTGCCACTCCTCCTCACCCACCTTTACCCCCCTGCTCAAAACATAGAGATAGGAACAAACAGAGGTGACATACCTGCTCAAGTCAGCCGCCAAACAAGGAAGTCGCAAGTGAAGCCGGAAGTAGAGGGCGCAGTTGATGGGAATGCCCCCAAGGGTTCCGAAGGGTGTCCTTTCCGCCAAATAGCGTCTTTTGGTTTTGTTCGTTCTTGGTCATCGTTGGGAGCGTGTTCCTCCGAACCGGAAGTCATAACCCTAAGAGGCAGGCCATTCACCCTTGTTGATGTTAGACTGGTGGCAGCTGATAAAACCCGTTTGCTCTACTGCATGACGTCTCATCCCCTGGTTAGCTCAGTTGGTAGAGCGCTCCACCGGAAATGAAGAGGTCCCTGGTTCGAAAGCAGGACCAGGCGGATTTTTTCGGTCACGCACCAGTCACCTAGCTGTGTTTGGAGATTTGTGTTGGTGCTTTGTTCCCCTTCTCCAGGGATTATTATCGTTAATTATATCCAGCTCGCCTGCACCTTTGCATTAATTGCATTAAAATCTCCCCCGGCTTCACATTTGATGACGTCATGTCGCCCTCAGAAGCTTGCTACCTCCACGACACAAAATAATGAGAGCAATCAAGCGACGTCAAAAGCGCAAGTCATTGGGCCTTTTCTGTTTATGATTGGTTCAGCGGTGATGTAACACGTACAGGAACACCACGATGGTGCGCTTTTCACGTTGTCTGATTGATCCCATCAGCTCGTAGCATCTGCTGCGCCTGGACTCCAGGTGAAACCAAGTAAAGCTAATTAGGCAAGTTGTTTGGTGCGACACGCAATTCCTTAAAAAGGACGTCGGACAAAATGTACCTGGACACACTGATGTCTGACACGGCGTCCCCGGATTCTGTCATGTTCATATTTTAGAAACCTGAACGCTGCGTTGGGTTTCGAAGTGTTCTCTTTTTATGTTGTGTGGTGAGACCGGGGTGTACGGTTGTTAAACTTTAATAATTTTACTCAAATAGCAAATTAAGATAGTGCTGTTTCAATAACCGCTTTCAAAAGTCAATTAAGCAACCTCGGCGGTCGCCATTTCTTGTTCACGAAGACGAGGCGTGTGATTGGATCCGAGTCCTCGCCGAACGCTGACGCAGCACTCGCACCCAATAGGAGCCGAGCCGAGTCCTCGTCGAACGCTGACGCAGCAATCGTTTTCGATACGGGCCGAGCCTAGTTCAAGCCGAAATCTGACGCTGCTATCGTGTCAAATGAATACATGATCGGCCCACCATTGTTTGCTGGGCCGATCCGAGTCGTCCGAGTCCACCAAACAATGGTGGACATCGGATCGAATTTTTGAAAAGTGTCTATTATCAGGACTTCTGCAGCTGTGGAATTTCCTCAAAGAAGGCCCATTCTCTCCCCTCATCCGGTCCTCTTTTTCAAAAGAAACCAAGTTACAAAATGTAAGAGTTAGAGAAGGTTTTCAACCGTTCCAACAACTGCTTAGCTTTTTTTTTTTTAAGTGTTTGTATTTTTATTAAATAAAAAAAAATAAAAAAAGAAGCAGGGCTTTTGATAGTTTAAGGAATGCAGAGTGCGGCTTGTCCCGAACGCACTTCGCAGCCAATGAAATAGTGACATCATTATTCTTATCAACGATCCAGTTGTCCCGACCCATAACAGAACCATGCGTCCTACTTTCAGCCTCTGTCAACTTCCGGTCGCGCCCGTCTCTCAAGAAGATTGAATTTGCGTTCCCAAGTTGGCGCGATCGTGAGCTGACAGTGCGGTTCAAACCGCGCGTGCGTTTTACCAGTCATCCGTCCACCTTTGGCCACGTGATCACACCCTCGCCCGTGCCCAAGCGCACAGAGCGGCATCAGGCGACGAAAGGGAGGCGCGGTTGGTTGGTCCGGCGAGTTCGCAGCTTCCATCGCACTGTCAAGTTAGGCCACGGATCGCTCCCGGGTTGTCATCGTGAGAATTTATTCTCTCGTGCAAGGTAGGGCCAACTGAGGGTCATCATCAATATTCTGCGCTGAGAAACACGGACACACCCTTTCGGTGGAACCGTTACACATTTAGGCCGCAAACACACCGGAAATCACAAACAATAACTAAAAGGGCGCCATATATATGTCTATACTTTCAGCGAATAAGTCTAATCAAATTTGAGGGTTTTATGTGTCAAATCAACGAAGGATCTCTGGCACGCCCCGGAGAAGGACCGGGGAGTTATTTATGGACAAGCCCATGATCTTAATGACCTTTCGACGCGCAATTGAAATCTCGGTTACACGGCGCTACGGCTACTGGCATTCGTAAGATCGCGGGCGCCTCACCTCGGCCGGGATTTGAACCCTCCTCATGAAGATCCGTGGTGCCAGCATTTTGCATCGATGCAACCAAGGCGGCTTCAGTGAATAAGTGTACCACCACAAGCTCCGAAAAA